TATATAGCCAACAGTATATATATATATATATATACAATTAAATGGCAGATTTTAATGAACCAAGGTATGGAATACAATTTACTGTTTGCAAGATTTCCTTGCTAATTGCCCTGCTAACCTTAAATACCCAAACTATTTGTTAAGACCTTGGTCACATACCTAATTCAGCAATAACATGTATAGTTCGTGAAAGTCAAACAGGCTCTATACATGTAAAAAGCCCCACTAATGATGTTAGGTTGGTATTTAAAAATATACAGACTTAACATAGCAATATGGGTACAAGCATCACGGTTTCACTGAACACTTTAAATGAATTAAATGAGGATGACAATACTCAAAGCATTTACATTTGCTGACATCATAATATTTGTGTCCATGCTATGTGCATCTTCCAAAGTTAGCGTATCCACCAATATAACAGTTAAGTCTCAGATTATTTTTCCTCTTAGCTTTAGTGGTCTCCTTGTCTGCCCATTCTCGCCTCTACTCCATTCTATTTCCACCATAGCTGACAAACTAAATGTAAACCTATGTTTATTTGTCCCAGTGTTAAAAATAACAATAGCTTACTATAGCAAAACTATGGAAAAGGCAGGGACATTACAAAATCAACAAAAATCAGAGGAAACAGAACCAGCAGCCATGGCAAGGAAATCTCACCACTGAAAACCCAATTAGATAAGGGAATCCATATGGTGACACAGCCAACCAAACTTTCCCTTGAAGTGAAATATTATGGGGTGGACTAAACTTTAGGGTGACATTTAATTCAAGTTTGTGAACTACAATATACATTCATATTGATAATGCTTCTGTTATTTGCATTCTGAACAGAGTGTGGCATTGGAGGTCCCACAGCATCAAGCAGGATAGTAGGAGGGGTACCGGCATCTTCAGGATCATGGCCCTGGCAGGCCAGTCTGCGTCTTGATGGGAAGCATAAGTGTGGAGCCACTCTCATCAGCAACATTTGGCTAGTTTCTGCTGCTCACTGTTTTGAGTTGTAAGTGATTGTCTACTTGACAAAACTGAAAGTTTTACTCTTACATTTTACTCTCATCAGCTGAACTGACACTAACAGATCGAATGCATCTTGTATCATTTATTGCTATGTTAAGTCTGTGAGCAGGTTAGGCAAAAAAGGAAACAGAGCAATTTGGAGGATTTGGGTTTTTTATTTATTTACTGTCTCCAAGATCAAGAGACAATTGCATTATTTTAAAGAATTAGATTAACTTGGAAAATCATCCGGTCACTGCTAGATGAGCAAGCTATCAGTGACCAGAGGATTTTAGATAACAGGTTCCAGCTGGAGAAACACAGACCTGAGTTAATGTTGTGCTGCTGTCCCGCTAAATTACTCCTGTATTTTTTAGCTATTTCTAGCTTAGTCCCTGGACTTATTCACACGGCAAAAAATGTGCCATGTGTGTCAAGAATCCAGCAAATTCCAGAGGCTGGATTCACAGGTGGATGTGGATTGTCACGGCTGCTGAGCCTGTACGAAGCAATGACATGCTGTCAGCAACGGTGTTCGAAAATTAGCTGCAGTTAGGCACAGATAATTACACCTGGATGCAACTGTTTGCTTCCCGTATTTACTTCCCATGAAGCCAGAGGTTCCTCAATTATATTTTACATACATTTTTAACATCACAATTAAAATGTATCTAATTATTTAGTATTTTCTAGTTATAGTATATTTTACTGCAGTTTGTTCTTAATTTAAACATATAAACATTTATTTAATGTGCGCTCTGCAAATATATGGACATATTCGCTTAACATGTACATTTCAGCTTGTGATTTCAAATGTCATTGTCTTTCTTTCTCTTCAGAGGTAAAGATGTGGATAGGTGGACAGTAGTATTGGGTTCCATCTCATCCACCCCTGGAGTCGGGATGAAGGTCCAGAGAATCATAGCGTATGACACCTTCAGCGTTGAAAATCAGGCAAATGACATTGCACTTCTCCAGCTGTCTGCGCCTGTCAGTTTTAAAGAAAACGTCCGCACTGTATGTTTACCAAAGGCATCTGACAACTTTGCTGATGGTTCATCGTGCTATGTCACCGGATGGGGATCACAGCAATATGACGGTTAGTAAGACAGCATGGTGTAGTTGGTATTATTGATTGTTATACTGATTATTTTTTTCTTGCTGCTCGCAGTATACTAAGACGCCGCAGCTGAAGCGGATCCCGACAATTATGTCTGGATCCGCCCAGCTGTGTGACTGACAGCTGGCTCTGCCTATCTAGAGGCAAAGCCAGTTTTACCCGCCCCCTCCCCGTCCGTTCCGCCAGTCAGCGCTGGCGGATCGGAGCAGGGAGGGGGGAATCCAGCCCCTCCCCTGTCACGGCAGAGAGCCGTGACAGGATCGAGAGGTGAGCGAACGCCGGTATGTGTTCGCTCACCTCCCGATCTACTGAGCCGACCTGTGACAGTTTCATTGTCAGAGGTCGGCTAGAACTATGAGGTGAGTGAAAAGCACTCACCTCATAGTTCTCCTTTAATGAATGCTTAGCTTTACAGTGCTAGAACATACACAGGCATGTGTAAATAAACTCATCACAAACATGGCAATCTAAAGTGAGAACGTGGTAAAAAAAAAAGTGGAAGCAGTGGTGCCCTTTATTGAAATCAACATGTCAAAATAGCAGTTCTACATGTAAAAGCAGAGGAAATCTTAAAATGTCCTGTAAGAGCTGAGCTTGGCCCAACCTATCCTAGTTTTTATTGCTCACTATAGGTCAGCGACTGCACATGAAATTAAAAGACCAATGGGGAGGCTTGTTGACAGAAAGGGGACTTTATTTCAGAAAGTCCAAAATTGCATGTAAATTTAGCAGCCTATCCTTTTAGGCTATGAATTGCCCAGGTTTGTAGCCAACAGTCAGATTTCATCTTCAACTGATTTGCACTGTCTTGTATAAAAAGGCATAAGTCATGTCACTATATCTTCTATATGTACAGTATTTTCTATGTTTTCTAAGGCAATGTATTTGTAATTTCAACTCTTTACTATACCCTAAGTTATAACAGAATCAACAAGAAAAAAGCCACATGTACAGTATTATTCTGGTTAAGTAGCAGTCACCATCTCTGTATAGATAGGAAGTCAACTGTATGATGCTGGCTTCTTGTTGAGACCGGGAGAGACCAGAGAATAAAATTGTGCAATTTGTTCCAAATTAAAGTATATAGCAACTGGAACAGCTTGCGTTGGTTAATTCAGTTATGGGCTGTGCAAATTAAAGAGGGACATCACTTTTATCTTTTTAAATGACAACAGTGGCACCTTTAGAAATGTTTAGTGATGACAATCTACAGATACCTCTAGATAATTGCAGGATTTTTATACTTTGCATACTTTATTTTTCTTTTCCTCCCCATTCTTCGCACTTGGCCATTTTCACTAAGGGCAGATTAATCAATTTCCCTTCACTTCCTGGAACTCTGGGCCCACCCCCTGGAACATGTAACAGTGCATTTCATCTCAGGGGGGAAAATGCCTTTGCCCTGAGATAGGGATGCACTGATACCATGTTTTCAAGACCGAGTACAAGTAACGATACTTTTGCTCAAGTACTCACCGATCCCAATTACTTATACCTTTTATTTTAGTGTCACGTGACTGTTTTTCTAAAACAATACAGACGAATGATTTTAGGACAATGGTGGAGTGCCAGGGCCCAGTCGCAGCTGCAACTGCTGCAACCCCGGTAGTTCTGTCACTAGCTCCAAGCTGTAGAGGGATTACAAATCCCAGCAATACATTATACAGCAATGCAGAATACCACCACCTATAGAGGACTACAAATCCCAGCAATACATTATACAGCAATGCAGAATACCACCACCTATAGAGGACTACAAATCCCAGCAATACATTATACAGCAATGCAGAATAATATGAAGCTGCATACTCTGTGTTGCTCACCGGGGCTTTGTGCAGTCCCACTAGGGCTGTGCAGGTCACACCAGGGCTGTGTGTGCTGTCATACCAGGGCTGAGCGGTCACACCAGGGTTGTGCAGTCTCACCAGGGCTGTGTGGGGTCTCACCAGGGTTGCGTTGGGGTCTCACCAGAGCTGCCTGCCGATTTACCAGGGCTGTTTTTGGGTCTCACCAGCGCTGAATGTGAGTCTCACCAGGGCTGTGTGCGTGTTTAACCAGGGCTGCATGCGGGTTTAACCAGGGCTGCATGCGGCTTTAACCAGGGCTGTCATACCAGGGCTGAGCGGTCACACCAGGATTGTGCAGTCTCACCAGGGCTGCGTGGAGTTTCACCAAGGCTGTACAGTCTCACCAGGGTTGCATTGGGGTCTCACCAGAGCTGCCTGCGGACTGTGTTCTTGCACTCAGTCTGGAAGGAGCATATGTAGTTTTGGTCCACACTCTACATCTAAAACAGGAGAAGTGGTACTGTGCATTCAACCTTATATACACAGCAGTGCAAATGTGGTTCAAACACTACTGCACAGTAGATTTATAATGACAATTATTTACATTTACAGGCCCTATGTCAACAGTTCTACGACAAGCTGAAGTGAAGATAATTAATTCAAATTTGTGTGGTAGCACCGAAATGTATGGAAGTACAATGCAACCTTCAATGCTATGTGCTGGATATGTGGAGGGAAAAATCGATGCTTGCCAGGTGAGTTAAGAATTTAATGTGTTTAAATCTCATTTCATATTTCTTTAAACATCTATTTTGCTGTGGGCTTGATTCTATTGTATCGGCTAATAATATAAACTTAAAATTCTGATTAAATCATGTAAAAAATGTTTTTATAGCATGTACTTAAAGACATATTTTCTTATCAGATTCTTACATAAATATTGGTATTATACAGTATACTTCCGTTTGTGTATGAGCTTTAGTGTGGCTTTAGAAGCATGACTCTGATATGTATTAGTTAGCGAATATTTGACATGTTAAACTAATATATTACCCTTGTCTCACTCTAGGGTGATTCTGGTGGTCCTTTGGTCTCTATGCAAAATACAGACAAGTGGTTCCTTGTTGGAATTGTCAGTTTTGGTGATGAATGCGCATTAGAATACAAGCCTGGCGTCTACTCCAGAGTTACATACCTGCGCAACTGGATCACAAAGATGTCTGGATTGTGATACCCCCAAAATGTTCAGATGCAATTGGGAGCAAGTGGAGATATCCTTTAATTTCCCAATGGAACAGATATTGTGGTTTAAACTTTCTTTATCAAAACTACAAAACATGAAGGAGTCTCAGACCATAACGGGCAAGATGAATTCCATTTTTAAGAAAGGAATGTTTTTTTTAGGACCATTGACTTATCAGACTCTTATTAGTCTTCATCTTAGTGTGATGATTACTCAAAATTCTTAACTGCAATTCTTTTCTAAAATAGCATGCTGATGAAAATTATTTTCTCACTGAAAAAAATAACAGCTATTATTTCCCTTTACATTTAAGAACATAATCTAAACTGAAACTACAGTTAGTTGATGTACACCATATCACCAAAAGTATGTGGACATCCCTCCAAATTATTGAGTTTAGTTGCACGCAGTCATAAACGGAGTGTGGTGCAGAGGAACTTGAATAGCCTGGGCAGAGCCCTCAGCCCAACTATTTTAAAGGTATTACATCCTGATTACAATCCAGGTCTTCTCATCCAACATCAGTACCTAACTTTACAAATACTTCTGTGCCTCAATGGCCACTGATTCATACGGACACTACAAAATCTTTTGCAAAGCCTTTTCAGAGGATTGGAGGCTGTTATAGCCGTAAAGTTGGGGGCAACTTGATATTTATGCCCATTGTTTTGGAATAAAATGTCCAACAATCTCATATATGTATGATGGTCAGATGCACACAAACTTTTATATGTAGTATATGTTTTGCTGCAGAAAGCCATGACTTAGTACTGCTTAAACATTACAACACTGATATGCAAATAGGAACTGTCTCCATGTTGCTCTTTGTATATGAATAGGCACTCCCCTACTCCTGCCAGGGAAGACACACAGTCAGCCAGACATCATGTTGCTCACTGTGTCTGTACACCTAGAACTAAACTGCTAACAGATTAGGACAACAGTTTGCCCTACTTTTTGAGATCTAGGTGTATTTACACAGAGTGGGCAAACTGCCTCTTTCAGCGCCTTGTGAGATATGATATCAGGTCATGTTAGTGTGGTACTAAGGCCATGCAGTCACAAGGGAAAAGGCATAAGATAGTTGGCCTAGGGGGAAGGAAGTAACATTTCGACCCTGCCCATGTGGCAATGTTCAGGCCTGCTAATAGGTGGCTCATCTACTAGGTTTTTTAGTTGCGTGTCTAATCTTCCTTACCAGCTAGTGAAGAAATTGCAGGAAACTGGGGGTGGCACAGACACAGGTTTATCTTAAAAGGCAAACATTTTGGAATGGATTAGTAAAGAATGTCCATTGTTCTTTGGCTCAGTAAACCATTGGTTTCCCCTAACAAAATATCATGTTAAGAGCAAGGTAAAAGTTACAAGTTAGGTTGTCATAGAATTAGCAATATTTAGCAAATCACTGCTTTTACCACAGTTACATGTAAATATAATTTATATATAAGACATATATAAACCTAATTATTTAGTTTATTTTAATGGTATTTTTTGCAAAGAGAAAATGTATTTATAAAAATAGTATTTAGTACTTTGCTAGTCAAAGAAATAATCTGCTTATTCATTAGAATGTTTATTATATTTTCCTGTTATACAGGATTGTGCATGAGTCATTGTATTTTTGTAAATGTGAACTATATTTATTATTGTTTAGACTTATGTGCAATAGTCATGTACTCAAGTACAGCAAAGTGCCTATAATTGCATATTATTACTGTTCATTGTATTTAAAATCCTTTTCCAACAATATTTAATTCATATTCATATTTAATAAATCCGAAGTAGATACCATTCACTGTGTCTTTCTTGTAATGACAGCTGTGCTACAGTTATGTAACTACAGTATAAGGTGTGTATATGTATTTTGAGAAAGGGCTTAAAGTGTATCCCAACCCAATCACTAAAATATTGTATAGTCTTTACCATGTTAATGTAGTTTCAAAAGTCATTGTCAGCCTATTTAAATCGATATCTTTCATTAAAATAATGCCTGGTAATGCTGCCATGAAGGTCCTTGTTATTTCATATACAACAATGATCCTTAATATATAAAAATAGGCCGGGATAGCACTGACCATTAACCTCTTAAATATATTTTTAAACTTTAAAAAAAAATCTTTAGTGGGTTTGTAGAGAGTTGACTGAATTTAAATGATAAAAAGACCAAACAAAAAATAGTCTAAATATGGGCCAGAATAAACAGACCTACAAAGAAAACATTATTCTGCTCAGTTCCCTGAGGCCTGAAAACTATTTTAGGGTAAAACTGTTAAAGGAGAACTATGAGGTGAGTGAAAATCACTCAGCCTCATAGTTCAAGCCGACGTGTGACAATGAAACTGTCACACGTCGGCTCAATAGATCGGGCAGTGAGCAAACGCATACCGTCGCTCGCTCACTTCTCGATCATATCAGTTGCACCTCCTCCATAACTGTGGTAACCTCACCTAATTTAACCCCATGGGGCAATAGGGGGTATGAAGTAATACCTACCGTATACACCATTAACCAGATCCCCTTGCTAATTGGCACGTGATGTCAGGAACTCCAAACTCCCCACTCTAGACTGGGAGTGACGCCTGGAGTCAGTACTGATTGCCATTCTAGATACAAAAAGAATTACCAACCCCTCCACCGCTCCTCGCCCTCCGCAGTTGAGGTTCACTACCAGAGACAGTTGGGCGTGACAGGGTCATGGGAGGACGCTAGTATATATCCTCCCGTGACCCTTAAGAGAACTATGGGGAAAAACACTTACCCCATAGTTCTCTTTTAAGAAAGGCTTTTGTGGGGTCTTTACTGTTAAAACAAAAAAATAACACTATGCTCTCTGGACTATGGATGGAAAACTCAGGAACCCAAGGATATATATGGACACACATAAGGAGAACATATAAACTAATACAGACAGTGACCTAGTTTGAACCCAAGATGCAAGGTAAGAAACTATTCTGTCCACGTGCTCTGATTAGGGTAATAAACCTAAAGAAAACGTGTCTCAAACCTGGAGAATTGAAACTGAGCATATGATGAATACATTTATAAACGGAGGTTACTGCATGTCAGTATAATGAGTTTATCAGACAGCTTGGTCCTGTCCCTCCTGCCTCTTGCATTTCTATTGGTTCTTAATTGTGATGTAGGCTTCATTGACAAACACGTAGACTTTGAAGGTGGCATGTTAAACAACAGTACCTATAAATAGATTTATCACAGTGTCAAGTGCACCAAACCGCACATCTTAAATTCCCCTATTGCCACAGTTGCTAATAAAATTAGGCAATTCCCTATTGTCTTTATGCCTGGAATGGTGCACCTTTGAGAGACAGGGCACTTCCTTTCTGGCAAGGGCATGCTATACAGCCAGAGGTGGTGAATTGGGAAACCAAGCCTTCATTATCCTCCATCTACCAGGCATAAAGTAGTCATAGCAGTGTCATCAGCAGCTCCAAATGCACCTTCTTTTTCAACATCTAATCCCACTGTAGCCCTGCAAACTGGCATGGAGGAGTTGGTAGAATTATTTCAGCACAGATTCTGTCACTTGCTGCAAGAGAGCAGATGTCACACAGAAGGAGGGGACAACATGTAGGAAGAATCATTTGCCAGCAATGTTACTGCAGCTGCAGCTTACTGTCAAGTGGGCTCCAGGGATGAGGAGGGTGTGATTGATGAGATAGCAGATCTGGGTACCTGGGTGCTCGAGAATGTAGATGACAAAAGTAAGGGAGAGGCACAGCATAAGTGAGGCAGGATGCAATCCAGGGACAACTTAAAGAGGAATGGAGGCAACAGCCACCCTATTCTACTGGAGGCCACAGCTCCACAGAGTGTCATGCGGCCACACTTAGTAGGGCCAAGCGTAGGCTTCAACCTCACTCAAAAGCTCCAAACCCTTATCTACCATCTCCAGCTATATCTTTGAGTAGTCAGCTATCTGTTCCCCAACTGCTGGAGCAAAATAAAAATGCAGCAAGCCACCTGCATGCCCAGCATCCCAATGCCACCTTAGCAAAATTGCTGGCTTTACAGCTGCTCCTGTTCCAGCTAGTGGAGTCTGCCCCCTCCTGTAAATTTGCAGCCTGTTCTGTACCACATCACCATTTTTCACCCAAAAGTCCATCCCCAGCATGTGAAAGGAAACGTCTCCTTGTTGCTTGATCATATGGCCAGTGGCAGGGTCCACATGACCATAGATATGTGGTCTAGCAAGCATGGGCAAGGTTACTGCATCTCATTCACGGCCCACTAGGTGCATTTGCTGTCAGCCAGAAAGAATGCAGGGTACGGCACACCACTGGAGCTGGTGGTGCCACCCTATGTTTTGCAACTTGGTGATGGTGACAGCTCAGTCACTGCTACCCCCTCATCCGGCCAATGAAGCACCAGGTGGGTGGGGTTTCAATAGCCAGCCCGCTATTGAAACCCCAGGTTGGCTCGGCCCGACAGTGATTCGGGTCAGCTTGGCCCGGCCAAGGAGCTCCACCCGCCCCTATGTTAATTTGGCCCCTGTCCTAATCATGTGTGCCAGATTTCCAGGAAGTAAAGGGAGATGGATGCATCTGCCCTTTGTGAAAATGGCCACTGTGAGAAGAAAGGGGAGGAAAAGAAAAATAAGGTACGCAAAAAAATAAAAAGGCAGCAATTATCTAGAAGTTTCTGTTTGTTGATTGTCATTACTAAACATTTCTAAAGATGTATTTGTTGTTATTTTAAACATATGGGTAAAGTTCCTCTTCAATCGTATAGACCTGAGACACAGGCCTGATGACAAAAAGTACTTACTGCTGTAGTGGAGGGGGGCTTTATAAGATAAAGGAAGCACCTCATATTGAAAAATCACATACCCACACAACATTCAGTTGAAATCGCTAGAGATAATGGATCTGAAGCCTCTTTAGGGTCTATTAGAATAACAATAGGAAATCCATAGGTTAAAAATAAGCAGTGAGTGAAAGATAAACCCAGACTGTACGTACCACATCTAG